ATAAAAATTTTAAAACAGAAAAAGATAATTAACTAAAACTGCAGGCAAGGCCACTGAGCCAACAGGGCGAGGTGTGACTGCAGATGCTGCGAGCACCCTGGGGAGATGGCACTGCTAGGTTAAGGCGCTGCCGGACAGGCTAAGTTGCTGGCCAAGCTTCCTGGCAGTTTCTCTTCCTCCTACTCCTGGTGACTGGTTGGGGGGGCGGGCGAGGGAGGCTGTCTTAGAATGACTTTTGGAAGAGTGAGTCAGGAGCTGAGCTCAAAATAACTGTTACAGCAAGCAACCTGAAGATGCTTATCACTCAATAACCTCCTTTGGATTGCCGCTGCAGTCAGGAATTTTGCTGGTTACTACGTCAGTTAGGGATGGGAGAGAAGAGGTCTGGCTACTAATAATGCATCAGTGTCCCTGACTCAGAAACACTGAGTTTGGTCCCCAGCAGCATGAAAGAAAGGGAATGGCAGGAAGGCTGTTTTACTAAAAATCTCAATCCACATGCATGTATTAATCTTGGTTTTTTTGTTTTGTTTTGCAGTATTAGAGATAGAACTGGGGCCTCATATGTGCTGCGTCACTGCCGTACCACTGAGCCACCCCTCCCAGCCCCTCACTGGGGGATTCTAGGCAGGTGCTGTGCCATTGAGCCACACCCGAAGCCCCTCACTGAGCCTTCTAGGCAGATGCTCTACCACTGAGCCACACCCCAGCCCCTCACTGGGGGATTCTAGGCAGGTGCTCTACCACTGAGACATGTCCCCAAGTCCCTCACTAGGGGATTCTATGCAGGAGCTCTACCACTGAGCCACCCCCCAGCCCCTCACTGGGGGATTCTAGGCAGGTGCTCTACCACTGAGACATGTCCCCAAGTCCCTCACTAGGGGATTCTATGCAGGTGCTCTACCACTGAGCCATGTCCCCAGTCCCTCACTGGGGGATTCTAGGCAGGTGGTCTACCACTGAGCTATGCCCCAAAGCCTTTAGAATATAGTTTGAACTGGCACCCTCCTTAGAATTGGTTGCTACTCAAGTCCTCCAACTTTGTTGGTGAGAGGAAGGATGTACAAAAGAGTTGGGCAGTGTTCTGTCCCCGTCTTCTCTGGTGATCCCCATCTGTATAGCAAATCCCATGCCTAGCATCTATCTACCACTCGTGTCCAGAGAGCTTCGGGGTGATGAATAGAGAAAGCCTGGAGAACCTTTAGGACTCTTTCAGACTCTCTGGAATTGGGTCACAGTTTTTAGCCAGAGGTCAACTGGCCCTAAATCCAAAGCCCAGTCAGAGCTACAGGCCTGTTCTTTTCACATCTAAACCATGATCTCAAGAGCCCTGTCTGCCGTGACCACAGGCACAGACCACAGCTGCGTCCTCTGTCTAGTTGCCATGGTGATTCTCAGGCGAGAGGCTCTCATATTGACTTGAGGATCCTGGCTGTATGGGAGCCTGGGAGCTCTGATTGGACCCTCCCAACAGAGTGAGGTGAAGTGAGTGTGTTGTCTTACCTGTCTGCAGTGGATGAAGAGGGAAAAGAGACACATGACAAAGGACTAGATGAACCCTCTTACCATGACTACCTTCCTGTGTAACATGGGTAGACCAGGTGCCACATACCACATGTTCCCTGTTTATTTGGTGCAGGTGTTCACAAAGCCAACCTCATCCTAGCCAGCCCAGTTCACCACCTGCAGTCACCATCCAGGCTCCTGATTCTCAAGCCCCATCTTTAGGTGTCCAGTTGGGACACACCCAGCCATCATCAGGCACTTGAGCATAGGTGGATGTAGGCTTATAAAAGCTCACTGACCTGTAGCACTCACGGGTCCACAGGCATCAGAAGGCATCTTAGAAAAATGGCTAATGGACTTTTCAAGTCAACATACTGGTGGAAGGGCTAGGGAGATGGCTCAGTCGGTAAAGTGTTTGCCACACAACCCTGGGGATATGAGTTTGGATCCCCAGAACCCTTATTACAAAATCCAGGCATGGTGGCATGTGCTTGTAATCCCAGTGCTGGGAAGATCAGGAGGAGCCCTGCCAGTGTAGCCTAATCAGAGAGACTCAGGACCCTGTGGGAGACTCTGTTTCAAGAAATGAGGTAGTCAGGCCTGAGGAATGACACTCAAGGTTATTGTCTACCCACCATCTGCACACACGAACACCCACATGCATGCACAGGAGCACCCACATGCATACACACACAAACCAACATTTTGATGAAGCAGGAAATTTCACTGGACTATGGGATGCTAAAGAGAGTAACAATGACACAAAATGTCAAATGACTCAAAAAAAATTTTTTGTTTTTTTGTTTTGTTTTGTTTTTGTACCTCCAGCTGGCCTGGAACTCACTATATAGACCAGGCTGACCTTGATCTCACAAATGTCCCTCTGCCTGTGCCTCCCGAGTACTGGGACTAAGTATACCACCACCCTGGTTGATTTTTATGTTATGCATGAGTGTTTTGCCTGCATGTATGTAAGTGTACCATGTTCTGCAGTGCCCGCAGAGGCCAGAAGAGGGCGTTGGATTCTGGAACTGGAGTTACAGAATCACCCTTGGTGCTTTGTGTTTTGAGATTGGGTTTTATTATTTACCCCACACTGTTCCTAAACTCATTCTACACCTTATGCTGTCCTCAGATTCTTTTTCCTTAGCCAGGCCTTTAATCCCACACCTTTAATCCAATCCCAGCACTTGGGAAGCTGTGAGATTGAGGCCAGCCTGATCTACATAGCCAGTTGCAGGCCAGCTGGGGCTGCAGGAAGACCCTGTCTCAAAAAGACAAAAAAAAAATTGTGTGTGTGTGTGTGTGTGTGTGTGTGTGTGTGTGGCGGGGAGGGGGGGTGGAATAGGCGGATCCCTGGAATTCACTGGCCAGCATGTTTATTTGAAATGGTGGGTTCCAGGTGGGTTCCAGGTTCAGTGACAGACCTTGTCTTAAAAAATAAGTGAATGGCTGGGCGTGGTGGCCACATGATTAATCCCAGGTGCTGGCAGATCTCTCAGTGCAAAGCCAGCCTGGTTGACATAGAGTGTTCCAGGCCAGCCAGGGCTGCATAGTAAGATCCTGCCTCAAAAAATAAATTAAAATAAAATAAGGTAGAGAAGTGATTGAGAAAAACAAACATCAGCCTTTGGCAGAGAGAGAGAGAGAGAGAGAGAGAGAGAGAGAGAGAGAGAATGAATATGAATGAATTTAGAGAGAAGACATTCTAAGTAAGTAAGGTCCAGACTGTTAGACATGTCCCCTAGAGATGGAAGAAGCTTGCCTATGTCTGAGCATGCTGGCCTGGTCTTATTCCCCCCCAGCCCCGGCTGTTCCAGAGTCCGATTTGTTACCTGTGGCCACTTCCAGTAGAAAAATCTTCAGGCTCATAAGCACAGAGTGTTGAGAGGCCAGGCCATTGAGCTCTGGATTCTTAGCATTACAGTTACTTTGTGAAGAATAGCTACCCCTCTCACCCAAGTGTCTGAGAGTCATATCTGTGGTTCTGGCAGCATTTGTTTCTGTCTTTTTTAGAAAAGATTTACTTATATTATTTTTAATTGTGTACATGTGTGGGTATGTGCATGTGCATGCAGGTACCTGCAGAGATCAGAAGACAGTGTTGGACTCCCCAGAGCTGCAGCTATAGGCAGTTATAAAACACCCAATATAGTTGCTAGGAACCAAACTCAGGTTCACTGAAAGCATGTATTCTCCCTTAACCGCTGAGCCATCTGTCCAGCCCTGTGTTTATATCTTGAAGGAATCTGCCTTTAAAATCTCTGCATAACAGGGCTAGAGAGATGGCTTAGCAGTTAAGGGCACTGACTGCTCTTGCAGAGGACCAGGGGTTCAGTTCCCAGAACTCACATGGTGACTAACAACCATCTGTAATTCCAGTCCCAGGGGATCTGACAGCCCTCTTCTGACTGCTTCGGGCACTGCACCACACAGGTACACTTAACACACATGCAGGCAATACACTCGTACACTTAGATAATAAATAAAAATTTTAAGAGTCCTTTTCATAAAAAAAAAAAAATAGAAATAAGGGGCTGGAGAGCTGGCTCAGCAGGTAAGAACACTGACTGTTCTTGCAGAAGACCCAGGTTCAAGTTCCAGCACCCACATGGCAACTAACAACTGTCTGTAACTCCAGTTCCAGGGGATTTGATACCCTCTTCTGGCCTCTGCAGGCACTGCAGGACATGGGCACACTTGCATACATACAGGCATAACACTCATACACATACAGGACTGTAATAGGGCGTGGTGGTGCACACCTTTAGTCCCAGCACTTGGGAGGCAGAGGCAGATCTCTGTGAGTTCAAGGCCAGCCTGGTCTACATAGTTAGTTCCAGGACAGCTGGGGCTACAGGGAGATCCTGCCTCAAAAAGACAAAAAAAAAGGAAAATAAAATAGATTTTTAAGCTTCACATGTTGGCACGTGCCTGTCATCTCAGCCCTCAAGAGGCAGAGGAAGGAGGATCCCAAGTTCCAGGCCAACCTGAACTGCAGAGTGAGACTGTCTATGAATGAATGAATATGTGAATGAGTGAATGAATGAGTGGTAAGCAAATGAGTGAGTGGGTGGCTGAGTGAGTGAATGAATACATGAAAGTGAATGGGTGGGTGAGTGATTGAATTGAGTGAATGAGTACATGAATGAGTGAATGAAATCTATGCATAAACATGGTGGGTCCTTTTCCCTAGCAGTTTTGAATCAAACCCAGTGTTAGGGCCAGTGCTGAGGTAGGCAGCAGTGCTGCAACTCCCAGAAGCCCCATGGAGGTGTTCTCTAGCACCTGCCTGAGGGTATTCTGTTCTGTTCTGAGGCAGAGTGCAGCTGATGCCACAGTGAGGCTCAATTCATGTTTTTAGGGGCTCATGGCAAGGATAAGTTCCATTCTGGACACAGACATGAACCCCTGTGAGCCTGAGGTCTGTGTTGTTCTTGTCACATGGTTGATGGGGACCTTGGGCCTGACCAGCTGCTCTCCTGTCATTGCAGGTGCACCTTTCGATTCCCCAGCACAGCCATCAAGATCCAGTTCACATCCCTGTACCACAAGGAGGAAGCTCCTGCGTCTCCCTTGCGGCCGCTCTACCCTCAGATCTCCCCGCTGAAGATCCATATTCCGGAGCCGGATATCCGGAACCTGGTCAGCCCTATCCCTTCCCCAACTGGCACCATCAGGTAAGCAGCCCCCAATGCTCAGGCTCTCCTGAGAGAATATGGGGCCTGAATATAGATCTAAACTCTGGGACGCCCTCCTGCAAGGGAGAGTCCCCCCAAGTCACCACTTGTTCAGGCTGAAGATGTATCTTTTTGATGCAGGAATGGGTGTGTGGCTCACTCCTGTCAGCCCAGCACTCTGGAGGCGGAGTCCAGTGCAAGTCCAGCCAGGGCTTCACAGGAGTTCAGGGTCACCCTAGCAACTTAGTGATGCCTTGTCTCAAAAGCAAACGGTTTGTAGCTCAGTGGGTAGTGTGCTTGTCTATCATGCACAAGGCCCTGGATTCCATCCCCAGCACCTGGTGGTCATGTCTATAATCCCAGTACTTAGGAGGTAGAGACAGGAGGACCAAGGTCGTCTTTAACTCCATAGTGCCAATCTGGGCTACATAAAAGACCTTGTCTCAAAAGAAGAGGGAGGGCTCAGCAGTTAAGAGCACTGGCTGCTCTTGCAGAGGACCAGGTTCATTTCCCAGCACCTACATGGCAACCCAAAACTGTCTGTAACTCTAGTTCTAGGGAATCCAATACCTTCTTCTGGCTTCTGCAGGCATTACACACACATGGTACAAGTAATATGTACAAGTAAAATAATCATGCACATAAAATAAAAAATTTAAATAAATTTTAAAAAATAAATTTTAAGCCGGGCATGGTGGCGCACGCCTGTAGTCCCAGCACTTGGGAGGCAGAGGCAGGCAGATCTCTGTGAGTTCAAGGCCAGCCTGGTCTACATAGTGAGTTCCAGGACAGCTGGGGCTACAGGGAGACCTTGCTTCAAAAAGACAAAAAAAAAAAGAAAATTTAGGAGAGGAGAAAAGGGGGCTTAGAGAGGTTGAGGAGTCTCATGGTAGTTTTCAGTGAAACAGGTTTCCATCTCTCTGCCACATGTGTGTGTTCTTGAAAATACTGTGCTGAGTATGTCAGGTGCTGAGGCCATGGTGTACCCAGTGTCTGTTTGTGTGAGAGAGACAGAATTTTCTGGGTTCCGAGAGAGAGAGAGAGAGAGAGAGAGAGAGAGAGAGAGAGAGAACTGGTTCATCTTTGGAGGTCAGCCTATCAGTTTCTTTCTCATGAATTTTGTTTTCCTATAGTGATGTGTGTGCACATGTGGAATCACTTACCTGAATAGGTTTCCTTTTTTCCCAACACCAGTGCATGTGTAACTTGTTTTGGTTTTGTTTGTTTTAAGTTAAGGTTATCTATATGGAGGCAGGGTGTGCACACACACTACAATGGATGTGTGGAAGTCCAAGGACAACTTATCAGAGTCCGTTCCTTCCTTCCCACTCTGTGTGTCCTAGAGGTCAAATTCAGATCATCAGGCACTTTACCTGCTGAGCCCTCTCAGTTGGTTTTTGAGACGGGGGTCTCACTCTGTAGTCAGGCTGGTCTGGGACTCACTGTGTAGCCTCAGCTGGCCTCCTACCTCAGCCTCTCAGGTGCTGGGGTTGCAGGCATGAGCCATCTTATCCAGCTTGTGTGTGTAACTTACACACAGATGAGAGTTTACCTGTAGAAAATATTCAGGGTACTGTCAAACGTGGTGGCAGTGCCCCATAAAGTTTAAATGAAGTTTCCCTGTGGCTTATGAATAGTTAAGGAAGGCGTGGCCTACCTTAGATCAGAATCACCTGGCTATGAAAAGTGCATGGCACTCACACCTGATCCAGGTGGAGGACCCTCAAAAGCATGATGCTAGCAGCTCACATTCAAGGCCAAATCTGGGCAACTTAGTAAGACTCTGTCCTATAATAAATAAAGGGCTGGGGATAAGTTCAGTGGTAGAACACTTACTTAGCATGCAGGAGGTCCTGCATTTAGATGAGTGTGGTACACACACACCTGAAATCCCAGCACTTGGAAGGTAGGGGGTAGCCTGGTCTACATGAGTTGCATGCAGGACAGCCAGGGCTACATAGTGAGAACTTGTCTCAAAAACAAAAACAAACAAAACTGAAAAAGAGGCCCTGCATTCAGTACCCAGTATAAGAAAGAAAGGAGGGAGGGAAGAAAAGGAAAGAAAGAAAAGTGAGGGAATGAAGGCTTTGATTTGTCCCTCGAGGACAATCGAATAGAATATTTAATAGACTATTTCTCAGTAATAAACCAGATAAAAACAGTACCCAGGCCTGGGCATGTAGCTCAGTGATTACAATGTTTAGCACCCAGGAAGCCCTAGGTTTCCTCCCCAGCACTGTATAAAACATAGCGTGGTGGTGCACACCTGTAATCCCTGCACTTGGAGGTGGAGGCGGGAGGATCAGGAGTTCAAGATCATCCTTCACTATAGAGGGAGTTTAATGCTAACCTGGGTTCCATGAGACCCTATCATGAAACAAAACACAGAACTACAGTAACCAACTAGTTAAGACCTTTGGTGACATTTTTGCTTGTTACTGTGGCCTCTAGGTGATGGTCTGTCTGAAAGTCCTAATCCCCTCCGCTGAGCAGGTATATGACTCCCTTTGGAGTCCTGAGCTTGTGTCTACTTCATTTCTTTCTGTGCTGAGGGAGTGGGCCCTTGTCCTCACAGGATCCCCACAAACTTGGGGGTGGAGTGTGAGTTCCTGGTCACCTGTTAAGATGGTGACTCCCTGGACCTTTAGTTGTCACACAAGAGACCTCTGTTGACATCCTTTATCTCTGCACTGTGGAATTCCACTGTGCTTTTGTAAACCTCAGAGGCCTCGGTTGGCCTGCTCAGGAGCCTTTTTTTAGTTTGAGTTTCAGTGTCAGGGTGGAGCCCATGTGTTTACAAACATGCCCTGCCCTTCCTTTCCCCTAGGAGCAGGAGCCAGGGCGGGGCAAGCCTGGGGATAAGGCCTGCCTTCCCAGCCTGCCAGCAGCTGCAGCCCCGCCCGAAGGAGTACTGTGTTTTCCTAATTTGGTGTGCTTAGCTTGCCTGTCCCTATTGGCCATCTCAGGCAGTGAGGCCTGAGGACCTCCCACCTGGGACTCCTTCCTCCCTAAAGCGGTCGCTCTGTGCTGGTCCCCCAACCCCCACTGGGCCCTGGCTCTGCTGGCCTGTCTGGGCGGATCCTGTGGTTCCCAGGACGGGTGTTCCGCTGTGGTTTGAGCAGAGTGTGTACGTTAGGTTTTCTTTTTTTTTTTTGGTTCTGTCCCCGCCCTGAAGTGCCCCACCCAGCAAATGAATGAGCTCTTTGAAAAAATTGTGCAACCTTTAGCAGCACTCTGACCTTTCTTCTTGTAAAGACCATGAGTTTTTAGGAAACCGGGTAGCTGGTTAATCATCTGCTAGGTTCACTCAAACAGTGTAAACCAGGCTCCGTGGAGTTACTTTTAAGAAAACTGCTCTTACATAAGACCCAGAACAGTCCTGAAAGTTGTGAATTTGGGTGTGCAGGCACTGGCCAGTAATCTCAGCACTCTGGAGACAGAGGCAGGAGGATTGCAACTTTGAGGCCAGCCTGGGCTACATAATGAAATCTTTTTTCAATTAAACAGACCAAACAGGGGGGGGGGGGGGGGGGCTGGTGAAATAGCTCAGCAGTTAAGAGCACTAGAACACTGCCTGGTCGAGGTGGTGGTGGTGCACTGTCACACACATACATAAACAACATACAGGTACATGCACACACATGTACAATAATAATAGTAATTAATTTTTTTTTAAATTTAAATAGCAGGCCAGGCATGGTGGTGCATGCCTTTAATCCCAGCACTTGGGAGGCAGAGGCCTCTGAAGTGCTATTTGAATATTGTTGAATATTGTTTTACCTCCGTTGCTGTGATAAAACACACTGACAAAATGCAATTTAGGTTTATTTGGCTTACAATTCCAGGTTACAGTTCATCATTGCGGCGAAGCCTACGCAAGAACTTAGAAGAAGCTAGTCATACCATATTCACAATCAAGAACAGAGAAAGGGCTGAAGAGATGGCTTAGTGATAAATAGCACTGGCTGTTCTTGCAGAGGACCCTGGATCAAGTCCCAGCACCCACACAGCAGCTAACAACTGTCTGTAACTCCAGTTCCAGGGGATCTGACACCCTCTTCTGGCCTCTGTGGGCACTGCACACGTGTGGTACATTCATATACATGCAGGCAAAATGCTCAGACACATAAATAAAAATAAAATTTAAAAAAACAAAACAAAAAAGGGGTGACGGGCTGTGGAGATGGCTCAGTGGATAAAATGTTTGCCATATTTGCACCCGAATAAAAAGCTAGGCCTGGCCTCGCATGCCTGCGACCTCAGTGCCATGGGGCAGAAGCAGGTGGATCCTGAGGGCTTGCTGACCAGCAAATCTAGCTGAAACTTGGTGTTCTGGGTTCATCAAGAGACCCTGTCTCAAAAAAATAAGGTAAGGCTGGAGAGATGGCTCAGAGGTTAAGAACAGGAGACTGTTCACACAGAAGACCCGGATTCAAATCCAGCATCCACATGGCAGCTAACTCCAGTTCCAGGGGATCCGACAGTCTCTTCTGTCCTCTGCCGGCATTGCACGACACAGGTGCACTTACCTAATGCAGGCAATACACATGTTAAAAGATAAATAAGGTGGAAGGGCTGGTAAGATGACTTGGTGGGTAAAGGTGCTTGCCACTAAGCCTAATGACCCATCCCCAGGACCCACAAGGTGAAAGAAGAAAACTGATCCCTACAAGTTGTCTCCTGTCTGTGCATGCTTTGCCATGTGTATGTATACACACACACAAACACAAAAGTAGCTCGTGATGGCAAAAGTTGCTGGTATGTGACATGAAAGGAGAAAACAGGATATAGACCGCAAAGTCCTCACTCCTTTTCACTGTGATCTTAAGCATAATTCTGCTTTATTGCTGGCTGTATCCAGTCTTTGTGGCTATTGGTCCTTTGAGTTTGGAGGCCATCCAGTCTGCATTAGAAGGATAGTCCCCTCCCCCAGCCCCAGCCTTGGTTTCATTCGCTGTGGTTTCAGTTACTCACAGACCAAAAATATCAAGTGGAAAATT